GACCAGGAAGTCACCCTAGAGCCGAAGGAGACCCAGGAAGTCACCCTAGAGCCCGAGAAGGAGACCCAGGAAGTCACCCTAGAGCCCGAGAAGGAGACCCAGGAAGTCACCCTAGAGCCGAGAAGGAGACCCAAGTCACCTAGAGCCCGAGAAGGAGACCCAGGATCACCCTAGAGCCTCACCTAGAGCCCGAGAAGGAGACCCAGGAAGTCACCTAGAGCGGAGACCAGGAAGTCACCCTAGAGCCCGAGAAGGAGACCCAGGAAGTCACCCTAGAGCCCGAGAAGGAGACCCAGGAAGTCACCCTAGAGCCCGAGAAGAGACCCAGGAAGTCACTAGAGCCCAAGAGGGACGACCAGAAGTCACCCTAGAGCCGAGAAGGAGACCCAGAAGTCACCCTACCATCAACAAGCCCAAGAAATCTATTGACATTTTCGCCACAGAAAGTACGAGTGAACTTGACGCGCATCAAACAAAGCGATAATGAAGGCTTTTGTACACATTGCTATGTCACACGGACCACAAAGAGACGTACAATAACAGTCACGCACGCGGAAGCATAAACTTGCATGCCGATGGAACCGAAGGAAGAGAAAGCAGAGTAAGAGAATGGCAGACAAAAGGAGGAACGAAGGGGAAAAACAGCAAGACAATAAGAAAGATAGTATCAGAAACCTGTCTTTATTCATATCAACACAAGGTGGTTATTAAGCACAGAGTGATAGGGCGGTTTAACTGGCTTTTCTCCAGCTTCAAATTATCGGGGTTTTGTGTCAGTTCTCTGCAGTGTCCCAAGGGCTAGATCAGTAGCCACTCGGGGAGGTGTCATGGCGCCTGTTTTAATGATTGTTCAGTGAAAATATAAACATTAAAATCATAATTTTCCATCCTTTTTGAAAATGGAAAAGACCAAAATAGATCGACGTATTACTCAAACCATCCGTAACTTTTGTGACGTCATCAAAATAAACCCCATGTACCTTTTCTAACATCTATAAAAAAAAATAATAATAAATGAATCAGACACCATGACACCTCGAATTGTAATTCCTCAATTCTTACACATCTAAGTGTCCCTATACATGTTCTACGGTAATTTATTGGTGTTTATAGCTTGCAGATACTCTATAAGGGATCTTTCATACCAAAATGATGTCAATATAATGATGAAAGTACTACAGATTCTCCCATTTTCTTGTCACATTTACATCTATCAATCAAAACTGGACGAGATTCACGTGTCTATAGGCTACACTAACCAAAAAACAAAAATATAAATGAAAAATAAAAATAAGAGCCTACGTAATAGAGCCTAAACGAACCACACGCAAACACGGTCATACTCAACGAGTTGTTCTGGTACGTACACGACCATTCGTTCGGCCACGCCCACTCGTTCAGGCCACGCCCACTCGTTCGGCCAAGGGGTGTCATTAGGCGCACTGCACGGGGTGGTGAACGGCACTAATCACCCTTAAAAAGAAGGTCGTTGTGTCATAACGATTGCAAACGGTGATAGAAATGACTTTTGAGGCGTGGCGGCGTTGGAGAGGTGAGCTTGCGCTAAGAATACATGTGTAAGAAGTGGTTGACATGATACGTAGCATCTGGCACTATGCTGTTTTTTTCTATCTTTCTTTGTTACTTTTCTATGCATACGTGTTTTTCTTTCTTTCACTTTTCATGCTGTTTTTTTTCAATTTCTATGCTGTTGTTTTTTCTTTTTTTTCACTTTCTCTATCGTGGTTGGGGAGGGGGGTGGGG